GACTTCGTAACTCACACTTCCTGTGAATCCACACAGGCGGGTGGGACGCAGCCCTCACTGTAACCCACACACTTCACGTACAAACTAGCACGCGGGGAGCCCCAAGTCATAAAAATAATAATAGAAAGGTGTTAGAAATAACATCAAGATACAAGTGCTTTTGGTTATGTAATCTTGTTACCTTTTTTGCGTTTCCTCTAGTGGTTTTATTGCACTTGTATCTAGATGTTATTTCTAACACCTTTCTATTTACAGTACTTAACTTCAGTTTCTTTGGTTGTATCCTTAATAATAATAATAAGGCCAAACTAAAGAAGGTGTGTGGTTCGACTAACATGGACATTTTTTTTACGGGCGGGCGGGCGGATTTTTTTTTTTTTAATATATTTTTAGTACATGTAAATACACTGTACTGCCTTTAGACACCCAGTACATCGGCATTATTACGCAGTGTTATGCCATACATGTTGTATAAAGGGATCAATGGCTAATACTTTGAAACATTGTGTAGCTCTGGAACGAGAGAGAATAACTTCAAGCGGTGACTCTGACTGTCCAAATCATCAAGCAAATGAAGAACGATACGAGTTGAAAGTAAGTTCGGGAACTACTTCGAAGTACAAATTGTACAATGTACCGGTACATGTATTGCTAGTTTGGTGTCGGCGTGCACGAATACATGGGCTTTTTCCATCGACGCTTCCTGTGCTTGCACACATGGAGCAGCAACTTACCGGTACAGGTGAAATATCGTTCCCAATACACGAGGAAAGTGCAATCTCGTCTGTCCTTCATCCCAAAACAGAAGGCCGTCCTTAAAGAGGCACTCCGGCTTCATTTTCGACGCCGAGTTTTCGATGCCAAGACGAAGGTAGGTGAAAGAGAAGACCCCTCGAACAAGAACGAGTCTCCAGAAGCAATCGAGTCGAGCAGGAAGACGACTTTTGAATTTCGGCCGAGCGAGCGCTGATGACGTAATGAGGGATTAGCTTGCCAGTGGAAATGCATCTGCGCACATACATTTCACATACTTTTTGGCCAATTTTCAATCGAAGAGGAGGTTGTTTTCTATGTTCTCTCAACGTCGTGAGCGATCCCGTCTTCTATACCCTTCCAGGTACCCTGAAGGTCCTCCAGAGGAGAATTTATCTCCATCAAAGCGTTGTTGATCCCCTAAATTCGTCTCGAGACATATTCACCCAGTGCAGTGCTGATAAATGTAGAATGTTGAATCTGTGATAATTGTCGACGATGGAGAGAGAGGCTGATAGCCGCTGTCGCAGGGAAAGTGAAGCTGCTGGAAGTAACAACAGGGAGCCCGTTTGTATCACCTGAACAACCAGACTTCAAAGCAGCTTGACCAAATCGGAGGGTGCCTCGTTGCTTATCGTGAATATTACACCGACATGAATTACTACAAGTATACTGGTGAGTTTTTATCTTGTTTTGTTCGTATGCTAGTACCCTGGCCTGGAGTTCTCGTTAGCAAATTCCTATTCCCTGGCGTTTTCTTAACATTCCGTGTAGGACTGAATACGTGATCAAGTATTCCGATTTGGGTAGATGTGGAATTTGGACATGTATTTTTATTAAAAAAATTATTTTCCAAATAGAGCGTTTGTAGAGAAATGGTTGCCCAAATACAACAAAATTTATTCTGCAGTTCTACAACTAACTTGTACTGAAATCCAGTCGAAGTAAAAATGATTCTTCATGACAGTTGGGGTCAATGAAATCTGATCCAGGCATAACGAATGGTGACGCCTGCCACCCCGGGAACGAATGCCCATTTGGTGGGGGATACCAAAGTATTCGAAAGTAGTGCGTGTTTCAATGTGGCATGGAAGTTTTATATGATCTCTGGTCAATGCAACATACGATAGCCATCATGAATTGCAGGCCTCGAACGCAACTCCGACCAGAATTGGCAGTTCCCTAAGTTAGATGCTTTATAATTCCATGGCCCCAGCTGTAGTTATAGAGGGTTTTTGCACATTATTCTTATAGTCGATAGGTTTATACTGATGGCCACAAACAACGGCAGTTCAAACTTCACTGATGTGTTCATGAGCTGAGAGATTTCTCTCCACTATTTCTGTTGTGCACACAGGTCTGTCCAATATGCATTGACCGTATTGGGTATGGTACCTGCTCTGAGAAGGGAATCGCTGGAGCCACAGTCCAACTATACAGGCTTTCAAGAAACAGAGAGGAGCCATCTTTGCAAGCTGATACCTGATGTGTACCGACAGAATTCTCACGAGATAGCTTACAGACTACGCCTGGTGTATACTTCATAGTACTCCTTCGACTACTGTCTAGAATCAAGTCGACTGAAGCAAGTTCAAACAACTCTGGCTTCAAACGAGCCATCGATTAGACAAACAAAACATTCTCTCATATACTAGAGCACTCTGACAACTCACAACCTATTCCTAACGATTGCCACCGCTTATAAATATGTAGAGTACTGATTGGAATGTGCTCACAATCTCAACAATCCAGTGCTATAATTATTTGAACTATGTGTTCCTTCCATAAATGTTGTATCCACATATAATCCACAGTGCTGCAAAGTTTCAGAGTTCTCAGAGTATCAAACAAAATTATTTCAAATACAGTGAAATAGTTCGTGGACATTATAGCGTAACTTGTAGTTCCCTGGTCCTTTTCTTTGCTATAAATTAATCCTTTGCTCTCTAGCCACCGGCGAGTCCAACAGTGAAATTGTTAGTTCATATTTATGTGGGTATGTGGGGGGGGGGGGTGAACATATTTCTATATAAGGGACCTGCAACTGTAATACCACAGTACAGTAGATAGCAAATATGTAGAAAACAGAAATGCATGTTCCCATCATTGTACATGGACGGGCGCAGCAGGCCGAAGCTATCAGCCAGAACAAGATTTACAATCGCCTAGAGATACTTGAGCTATTCCAGTATTCTCCGTGAGCTGTCCCATTCCACAATGGTTCATGCCACCATTATTTCTGGTAGTATCCATGTGCATAATTCCAAGAACATCTCGGATTCTTCAGCAATTTGTGCCACGGCAAAAGACAACGCTTGACTCGGTCACTGGGGCTGTCAAACTTCGCATCACAAATGAACTTCAATTTCTCATCTGGTTCAAGTATATGTACTGCCATGACTTGACCATGCTTCATCCACAGCTGGGCGAAGATTGTGGCGTTGAATTCCATAGCGCACCTTCTTGCTGCCATGCAGGAATATGTTGAGAGAAGTGAACATATGTTTACAAAAAAAACAACAGCCACTGAAGAGGATAGCATTAGCAATAGCCTTGGGTGAATTTCCTGCAGGTACACGTTGTTGGTAGGTCTACTGGTCGGTCTCCATATCGTCAAGTTCAGAAATCACCTGTACTACACATCTTGTAGAAGGGATCCTGATCGAAAAATTTTCTGATCATAAAATTCACTAAACTGAGGGCGAGACAAATAGTCAGTACTCCCCGATTCCGTCTAGCTGCTTTGATCAAGTGATGCTAACAAGCTCCCCGTTGTTACTTCCAGCAGCTTCACTTTCCCTGCGATAGCGGCTATCAACCTTTCTGTCCATCGTCGACAATTATCACAGATTCAACATTCTACATTTGTCAGCACTGCACTGGGTGAATATGTCTCGAGACGAATTTAGGGGATCAACAACGCTTTGATGGAGATAAATTCTCCTCTGGAGGACCTTCAGGGTACCTGGAAGGGTATAGAAGACGGGATCGCTCACGACGTTGAGAGAACATAGAAAACAACCTCCTCTTCGATTGAAAATTGGCCAAAAAGTATGTGAAATGTATGTGCGCAGATGCACTTCCACTGGCAAGCTAATCCCTCATTACGTCATCAGCGCTCGCTCGGCCGAAATTCAAAAGTCGTCTTCCTGCTCGACTCGATCGCTTCTGGAGACTCGTTCTTGTTCGAGGGGTTTTCTCTTTCACCAACCTTCGTCTTGGCATCGAAAACTCGGCGTCGAAAATGAAGCCGGAGTGCCCCTTTAATCTGGAACGAGGCAATCACTCTCAACCGGACGGTCACTTCAAAATAAGTCTCGCCAGTCTGCCGGTGGTCGTATCGAGTAGACTCTACTACCAGCACAAGGCAGCAGTCGTACCACTCACTGCACTGCACTGCAGTACAACTACCATGACTACAAGTCAAGTCCAAAAGGAGCCGCCTGTGTCCGCAGACTCACGCTGCACAGCACTTAGACGTGGACGTGTTCAGTCCACGTAGATCTACGTCAGTCACACGACAGCCCGCCGAAAAAAAGTTACGGTCGGGCTGAAAAATGTACGGTCGGTCGGGTGAGTCGAACCACAGACCTTCTTCAGTGTGGCCTAATAATAATAAAACATAGCCTGTAAAATTCTGCTGCAATTTATAGATTCTCACATGCGAGCAACCTGGGCCTCAGCAACAACCAGCTCAGCAGACTCCGGATGCCGAACCGATCGCTCACGGAAAAGACCCCGTGAACCCCGCAAACACATGATGCATGATCGCAACAGGGCAAATGAGAGACGGCATCTGATGTAAGATATTACGTGGGAGTACTGCTCCTTCCTCCTTTCCGCTCTCAATAACGCCATTCGGCGATAGAGTGATGTCGCCGCTCTTCCCATGCCACCACTTGCCGACAGCACAACAGGCATGAACGTCGCATGCTCCACCTCTCTCACTCTCTCTTCATAACATCGTCATTCCTGCTCCAAGTCATTGTAACTCTCGTCTTCGTCCTTGTCAGACGGCCGGAGCTGGCGCTTCTCCGCGGCCGGTGCGTACAGGTCGTCGTCTCCATCATCGCGCTCGCTGTCGTCGTACCCGGGGATATCGCAGTAGAACGACTCGCCGGCGCCATGCTCATCCAGGAGAGACGCGTCCTCATGCGGCACGCCGACAACTTGTTGTTGACTTTTATTTAAAGTCGCAACACAAACAGGCGATAGCGCCTCCTTTTATACATGCGAGCGACATGACAAATATAGTAACGGGGAGGGCCAAGGCCTAGGGGTGGAGAAAAAAATCACAAGTGAAAGAAGTCACCAAAGGTACCTGAATATGACTTTATGATTGTTGCAGATAGATCTGCGGGAAAAAGAACCCTGTTGAAAAAGGTACATTTAGTCAGTTGACGGCTCATATATACTGGCCATACTCAGTTCATAGACATTTTGTATGTGAAAAGTAACTGGCGTAGACAGAACAACCTGCTTGTCTATCTGTCTAGAATAATCACAAGAATGGCCTCAGCAGTATTGGTGAAGCAAACTCTAAAAGTAAAGCCGATCCTTGTGATCCTGCTCGCCGCATCACTATCAGCCTGGGGATTGTGGAAGGTCACTTTACCAGGGACTACTACAGGAAAACGCAGTCTTTTACCAGTAATCGGCAGGCGTGTACTGCCTGCACGGGACGTGAGTAAGCGCCCACTCCAGGACAATGGTTCCGTGAAGACACCAGTCGCTCAGGAGCCATATCATAAGAAGCTCGTTCAGATTTCTAAAGTATGGGGGCAGTATGGCTTAGGCTTTTCCTGGCCACACACTGTCAAAAATGCTATGCCCACATGCCAACACCCAGGGATGGTCCTGATTTGCCAGAATCCACGAAAGAGACTTATCATACTCTACTGGAATGCTGTGGTTGGCAACAAGAACTTCACGATGTTCCCTCCCAGTGATGGCCTGTTACACTTTGGATGCTGTGACGGCATTGACATGATCTACACAACAGACCGCAAGATGCTTGCTGTTGCTGATATTGTAGAATTCGCAGCTCCAGAGCTTCCTGACCCACTGCCCTCCAAGGGTCACAAGTACCAATTGTTTATGGCAACAAGCACTGAAGCTCCATACGCTGCCAGTAGAAAGGACAATGTCGCTCGGATGTCTGGAATAAACTTGCTTCGATCGTATGCTTGGACCAGTGATATTCGCCACTCGTTCACTGAGCCAGGAGAGTGCTTTTGCAAACAATATGTGAAGCCTCTGAAGATACCGTACGGCCAGCGACATGTAGCTCCTGTGTCAGCTCTGGTTTCCAATTGCTGGTCATTCGGTGGCCGTCAAGATTTGTTGAAGTACATGATGCAGAAGATTAAGGTTCACAGTGTCGGCGGCTGTCTCAACAATCATAGGCTCCCCGCTAATGTCCAGCCCGCGCTGGAAAACTATCTGTATAATTTTGCTGTTGAGAATGCCATATGTATGGACTACATTACGGAGAAGTTTCATCGGGCCTTGTCACTAGGCACGGTACCCATAGTGCTGACCCAGGGTCAAATGCCAGGATACGAGTTTGTGGCTCCTACAAATTCTTCCTACGTCGATCTGTCTCGCTTTCGGACGCTTGATGATGCCATAGCGTTTATCAGCGACATGGCGGCCTCACCAGAGAAGTACGCGCAACACCACAGTTATAGAGGTGAGCCAATCACAAGTCCAGTCTTGTCAGCCAAGTTCAAACACCACGTGTGCAAGCAGACCGAAGACAATCTTGACCAATGGTGCCAACTTGCCAAAGCCATGGAGACGAGGAGAGGAAGAGAGCAGCTGCTCCAGAAAACGTACGGCCGGTATGATTCTACTTCAAATCGTCAGTGTGCTGATGAAGGCTCAATATCAACCCTCGTCCCTAGATGAGTCTGACATCTACTCGTACTGTGTCTTGACTCTATAGCACAATATTAATAGACGGCTTCTCGCACATTTTTAAACCAAAACACTTTTGTGTGCGTCTAAAGGTCAGACACAAACAAACCTCTAACCCAGACTAGTTGATCACCTTCTTAGTCTATACATGTACCTAGTAAGTTTTTGTGGAATACGTACATGTGTAGCGTTGGCACGCTAGTAACCAAGGTAACTACTTACACAGCTGCAGCGTGAATCACTTTCAATGTGTTGGTCACGCGTGTTGCACCGCATCCTGCACTTGCAACTCTTACTACCGTGCTTGCAGCTCCATGACATGCATAGTAACTAGTCTCACTGTGTTCATGTATTACTCCCACACACTAGGATGACCTGAGGAATACTAGCACATGTACCCTGTAGACCCTTTTGATGCATTTCACTTTCGACCTCCTTTTCATTTATCTACACACATTCTAATGAAACTTCCTTAGAATTCCTAATGGCTGTCTTCCCTGTGCCTCTTTTACGCCCATTGTCCACACTGCTATTCAGCTCCTTCTTCTGCATAGAATCAAATGGTATTCCTTGTGCAGTGACCCCTTCTACTGAGTAGTAGTGGCGGGGGGGGGGGGGGGGGGTTCTGGCCCAGATCTGAACCCACTTGAACTTTCAAGTACCCCACTTGACCTTGAACCCACTTAAACACTAATTAGCTTAATTGACCGCAAAGAGGGCGTGGCTTCCGGTGGGAGGAGGAGCTAAAGAAGGAGGTGTTAACCGGGGGCGTGTGTCTATGGAGGCGTGTCTCCTTGTGTCCCCATGGTGTTAAATCCCAAAGGTTCATGCATGTGACTCTTGTGTGTGTGTGTGTGGGGGGGGGGGGGGGTGTAGTACATGGTACATCATACTACATTGTACATGGTACATGGTGTCACTGTCTCTGTGTGTGTGTGTGTGTGTGTGTGTGTGTGTGTGTGTGTGTGTGTGTGTGTGTGTGTGTGTGTGTGTGTGTGTGTGTGTGTATGTGATGACTAATGTCTGTATGCGTGCACCTTACGTAGTGTTGTGGCCTGTCTGAACCTGTATCTGCGGAAAGTGATGAGTAATCCATTCCCCTCTTGTATGTGTATACTTTGTCGGAACATGTTCATCTCCTTGCAATATGGAGATGGTGGGATCATGGTTCATGTTCAGGCTTGTTTTGAGTGCAATAAGGAAACTCATGCACCTTTGGGTGTATGGATCAAAATACCCTCTTGAGTTTGTCCGTTCTTGTTTCAGGATGTTTGATCTTGTCGTAAACACCCCTGGCACCTGTGCATGTTTGGGTCACCACATCCTTTGGGGAGGCTATGGTTTATGTTGCTGACTGCTGCGATCGTGCGATAGGCGATCCCCTCCGCGGACATGTACGTGCAGGAGCTAGCACTGTCCCCCTGAACACAGTTCTTGTTCCAACTTGCTTTCATCGTGCAAGAAGCAACCCATACATGTGTTTGTTTGTGTATGACTGACCAGAACCCATTTGAGGTGTCCTGACTTGTTCGCTTGACCCGTCTTTTGTGGTGTATAAAAGGCCGTGCTCTTCGCCTCTGGACCATATCACTCCTCCGATCAACACCTGAATCTTCTCCTTCCTTTTACCTAGTGTAAATCGTTGTCTCTCCATTTTAAAGCTATGGATACCTTCACTTTTATTACCGATGGTGTTGAGAAAGGTGCTCAAGTGCAGCACAAGGTTAATGGACGCACTCACAGTCGTCTTTCACCAGGAGCCAGGTTTCACCACACAAAATCTGCTCTACCTGCTTTCTCCGCCACTGCAACGGCTCGGCAAGATAGGTTTGAGCAGATCAGGGTGGAGATCGAGATGTCGCTCGACGAAGTTGTACGATCACTTCTGAAGTGCTCGTCAACAGTGCGACGTGCCGTGACATGTGCGAATGTGAAGCGCATTGGGACGAATTTCTTCCCCCAATCCTGTCGGACATCTGACAGCGAGACTGGCAGTGACAGGAGATTTGTCACCGCGGTATATGTGCGAGGAAGTGAGATGGTGGGGGCGAAAGCCTTCGTGCTGGACAAACCCTTTCAAGTGTTAGTGTGTCCCTCGACCGTCAGTGTCATGAGAGCTGCAGGAAAGTTCAAATGTCTGCTGGCAGCCATCCCGCAAGTCTATGCCGAAGAGGTTGATCATATTCACCTGAGGACATTGGAGGACACTGATGTAACACTTGACATCGGAGAGAAGGAACTCGATGAACTGCTCGAGGGTTTCGCGAAGAAATCCAGGAAGGTGGAGGATGACGAAGACGACTGCGCTGATGAGTTCGACGAGCTCTTTAATTGAACTGTGTGTGTAACATGTGCATCCATTAGCCACATGTACATGTATGCCTGGTTAGTACTCATCCCTAACTCTAGCACTACCTGTATATAATCTCCAGCACTGTTTTGTTTTTCTATGCTCGTGTTTTTCAACACGCTCAAGCATCTGATTTGTATTCATCTATACATACACTCTCTCTCTCTCTCTCTTTCACTTCTCTCTCTCTCTCTTTCACTTCTCTCTCTCTCTCTTTCACTTCTCTCTCTCTCTCTTTCATTTTCTCTCTCTCTCTCTCTCTTTCAGTGTTCGTGTTTTTCAACATGCTCTAGCATCTGATTAGTATTCGTCTCTCTCTCTCTCTCTCTCTCTCTCTCTCTCTCTCTCTCTCTCTCTCTCTCTCTCTCTCTCTCTCTCTCTCTCTCTCTCTCTCTCTCTCTCTCTCTCTCTCTCTCTCTCTCTCTCTCTCTCTCTCTCTCTCTCTCTCTCTCTCTCTCTCTCTCTCTCTCTCTCTCTCTCTCTCTCTCTCCTTTCATCTATCCACTAACCTTTACCATTACTACTTTAGCATGCTATTTCTCGTGCTCGTGTTTTTCAACACGATGTAGCACTTGCTTAGTACCTCCCTCTCCATCACCACACACACACACACGTAGGTCATACTGTTCACGTATTATTTCAGGAATGAATCGTAATGAAATAAATCATTGGAATTATTTCATGAATGAATCGTAATGAAACAAATCATTGGAATTGAGAGAGTCATGCTTGCTATGTGTTACATGCATATGGCTTCGAGTAAAAAAAGGAAAGAAAAAAAATTACATAATATGTATACCGGTATATGAGAAAAATGGTCATTATTCCAAGTGCTACTTGTAGATCACTTCCCACTCCCAGTTATTATCGCGGCCGTACCAGCTGGTTCTGTGTGTAGTTGAAAAACATATACACACACACACACACCAAAAAACATCGATAGATGTACCATGAGCATTCTGTGTAACCAGGAAAGTTTTGTAACACCAATTACTTATCAAGTACTTTGCACTCAAGTTGAACAGATGTAAAAAAAATAATAATAATAATAATAATAAATGCAAGTAGGCTAAAGATGTACAGTGTACTTGAAACAGGTCTCTTGACAACGAAATACAACACGCACACACCCACACTTACAAAAGCCACGTATGCTCTGGCAGCTTGTATGCGGATCTCATATCGCCGTAGAATGACCTCCCCTGTTTACACACAGCTTCCACATGACTGCTTTGGACGCAGTGATCGGGGCGAATGGATTTTTCTGAACTGTTCGAAAGGCACAGATACACACACACACACACACACACACACACACACACACACACACACACACACATGTCCGTCTTAAAACAGTACCTGTACAAATCACGCATTTCACAACTTACCACATCTCGCAATCCACATAAGTATTTTGGAACTGCGTTATCTGACGGTGGTGTCGGCCCATCAGGTGGTCCAGCAGCTGCTTAAGACCGTTTAGCTTGACATTGCAGTTGAAGCAATAAAACATCATTGACTACTAGTAGGGGTGGTAGTAGTATTGACTGATTTTATTTTTCTTTCTTTCAATATCATGAGCTAGCTCAGTCAATCTCCGCTCTTTTATGCCCTGCTTTTTTATTTATTTTTTTATCATTCTTTCTTTCTTTTTGTTTATCTTTTTCTCTGTAGACGGTCTTCAAATTACACTTCCAAGTCTTTGTTTCAAGTGAGTTGAAGGTTCTAATTATCTGTGGGCTAGCTCACTTCAGCTATTCTATTCTGTATCCCATTATCATAAATTCCAGAGTGCTGCACGATCTTGATAGCAACCACGGAGATGTGCTCTTCACGTACTCCCGTCCGACTCCAGGATCGTACGACTGCGGTGTGCGGACGTTATGCCGTGCTGGAGGAGCGTCTATTTTCTCAGCGTGGCATCGATGGCACCCTGGACGTTCAGACTATTTACAAACGACACACGTGCCAACGACCAGCTGATCATGACGATGACCGATGACGTCGACGGCAGCGCAAGCAAAAGTAGACGGAGCGGTTGGCGCGTGACATGCACAAGCCACGGAGGGTGTGCTTTCCCCGAACGCGTGTGATCGTACATCTACACGGACATGACGATATTTGGAGTGTAGACCTGGTGGATATGCAAGCGTTTGCCAAATACAACAAGGGTGTACGGTACTTGCTCACCGTGATCGATCTGTTCAGCAGGTAGATCTACGCCTGGATGGTGGATCTACGCCTGGATGGTGCCGCTCAAGAACAAAACGGAGATCGCCGTGCGCGATGCGTTTCGCCACAACGTTCGAAGCAGCGAGAGGTCTTCACGTAAACTCTGGGTTGATGAGGGAAAGGAGCTCTACAGCGCAACGCTAAAACGGTGGTTGACTGAGAACGGCATTGAGATGTACAGCACTCACAATGAGGGAGAGGCCGTGGTCGTGGTGCGCTTCAACAGGACGCTCAAATCGCGCATGTGGCAATACTTTACGGCCAACTCGACCAACATCTACGTCACGGATGTGCTGCCCCGACCCGTTGACGATTACAAATGCCAGAAGGCATCGCAGCATTGGCATGACTCCCACGGAAGCTTCGCGCGAGCGCAACGCAGCGTTTGTACAGGATTTTCCTGTCTCGGGACCTGCGCGCCTTTGCATGCGTTCACTGTTTACGAATGGAGTGCCTTGGATTTGTGAGTTGAACAAGTTGCCAAGTAACGTGATGGTGTTCAGCTATTGAATAACAGTTCCTACAAGCCCATCTCTCTCTCTAACATGCTCGACCGTGTCACACGTGCCTGTGTGTGTGTTGCATCCCGTCTCTAACATGCCCAGCCGCACGTGTTCATCGTAAACTGTCGTACATTTTCGAATCTCGATCGCCTGCTCCATCACGTTGTGCAATGCTGGCGGAAGCTAAGAAAAAGTGATGAAAAAGTGCTTTGTTTTCCCAAAATGCAAATAAGAAAACTCAGACCAAGAAAGCTGTAGTTGTGAGAGGGAGAGAGAAAGAGAGAGAGAGAGAGAGATTGATCATGGAGGAAGCCGCAAGCGCACCCGTTCAACAGTCACCGCAGGCATCCCCTGCATCATATCCGTCATCTCTACCACCGCCTGGCTCTCCGCTGTCAGCAACGCCTACGTCGCCATCCACATCGGATGCCGAACGCCGATCAGTAGGATATGTGGAGGCAAACCCCCGACTTGTAACACCGGCATCGTCGTCATCATCGCCATTCTCACCATCACCACCACCACCCCTACTGCCAAGGCATGCCCGACCACCACCACCACCACCACCACGCTCTCCCGACACACCAACTACACACGCTTCTACACCACCTTCTATCACCCCATCGCCACCCCTCCTGCCATGCCCGCCACCGCCATCACTGGCAGCAGCAGCAAGCCCGGAATCACCCGTTCAGACGCCTTGCGTACCTGAAGTCAGCTGTACAAATTGTAGGAGGCGGTGCGATCTTGGCCACAGGCGATGCACTACAGGCTGCATTCTGATCACCCTGGACATCATAAAGTTGGTGATCCTCATTGTTATATGCATAAAGGTGATGCTGCTTTAACTCCAGGCTGGATCTCCCGGGAGGTTTTGCAGTGTAGTGTGTTGAGAAAAAGAGCTCCGTTGAGTCCTGCTAATTCAAAACTATATCGTCCACGAATGAAGAAACAAAATTCTCCAAACAGAGAGGAAGCCTTCTTGCTGCCGACACGGCGACAGCGACTGTCACAAGGACTCGTCAGGTGCGATCAGCTGATTCGCCTGGCCGTGAGAATCACGGCATGCATAAGCTCGCGCCTGAGTGCTCATCTGAGCGAGAGTGAATCTGACGTGAGCAGCCCTGAGATGAACAAACCGAAGCTGCGATATCGTGGAATGGGAATTGCTGCTGCTGGCGTATCGCCGATGGCGAAGTGTTGGTGTTCAATGGCGGTATTGTAGAGAGCCTACATTTCTTGTAAAGACGTAGCCCTTACCTGATAGTTTATTGTACGATTTCAGCTCCATCACGAACTTGGTATGCCCTTCGTGCTGTGATATTCGTGTATTTCATTCGCAATTGTATTTTCTCTCAACTTGAAGGGCTACCATGGGCCCTATCCTTGCCTGGACCTAGTCATATTTGAATTTTCTGGACGCGTTCAGGCATACAGATTTTGAAAATATATGGTTTACCCATACCTACATCACATGGTTCTTGAGTTATTGCTGGTTGTGTGTACATGTATTTGCGTGACCACCGCGCACATACATTGAGTTAGACCGGCAAAGGGTTAAAATAAATGGTGACATTCTAGCCTGTCCGTTCTTTGGCGCCCCGTTCTCTGGCGCCCCGTTCTTTGGCGCCCCGTTCTTTGGCGCCCCGTTCTTTGGCGCTCCGTTCTTTGGCGCTCCGTTCTTTGGCGCTCCGTTCTTTGGCGCTCCGTTCTTTGGTGCCAGGCAGTACTGTAACCGTCCACCAATGTAACCACATCGACGTTACTGCAAAACCGGAAAGTCTAACGAGACACAAAGTCTTAACGTTTTAACGACCAGTCTTTTTTCGCTATTTGAAAAATACGTTATCGCTAGAGGTCTGTGTAAAGATGCGCATACAGATGGGTGGCCAGCAAAGCCATCGTTAAACTTTCTGCACGTAATCATGCCAAAATTACAAAAACGTTAAACTTTCTGCACGTAATCATGCCAAAATTACAAAAACGTTAAACTTTCTGCACGTAATCATGCCAAAATTACAAAAATTGTTAACTTTTTGGTCTTTAGACTTTCCGCTTTCACAGTATACAGTCAGCGAGTGCGACAAAATGGCACAAAACTGACAAGGAGCGCGGAGACATTCAACGACCTGATGACACCTAGCTCCAACACGTCTACGAGGCGTAAACCTGACTGCATTATGATCTGGTTACGTCGGTAGACAGTTAGTCATAACTCTTGCCTTTTTTCGTTCTTCTCCTTTTTATCCATATTGATATTATTGTTCCTATCAATTGCAATATGAAAATAAAGTACACATTGGCATAACACATGAAAAGAGCTTCATTTTGATACCCATGTCATACTATGCAAAATATGGGTTCATAACTTCGTATACATGTACATAATAATTATATGGGAATTCGCGAGTAAGGACACTTCGCGAGTAACGACAATGTTCTGGTGCCTGACGGGAGGTCGTTACTCGCAAAAAAAGGTGACTGTATACGATTCCAACGAGTCGCGACATTGATTTTATGACAAACAATCTCAAACGCACCTGTTCTCTGTGGTCCATACACCTTGGACCGCAGCGCGTCTCTCAGCGAAGAAAAGTCGTTGAGTGTCTCCGCCGCCAGCTTCCAGAGAAGAGATTGGCCAAGGTCGAGCGTTGCTGCCACTGGGAAACTAGCCACATACCAGTAGTCAAGTAATTAGTTTCTCGCTCTGGACTTACTTCCAAGGGCCTGGGTGTCCATGCAATTGCGAAAGACCACTCCTTGAATCAACTCCCATCACCGTCAAACACCGGAGGATCCTTGGCGCAGAGACGATTCTGGTTGAGAGCGATTCGGCAGCTTTCCACACGAGGCGCAGGTCCGGTTGCAGCCTTGCAGGCGATGAAAGGCTCGCAAGAAGTTTGGAAACTCGTCGAATCTCCATAACAGCAGCGTAAATCAGCAAGCAGTGTAGTACCAAGGCCAAGACGATGAGCGCCGCTATCGGCAACACGCCCGGGTCGAACTGAACAAAACCATTCTCTGCCACTATGGTACAATGACGTACCGGTACTACCAGTTGGAACGTCCTGCGTACATTGACTTCAGTCACTACACCGCCACCGCGGTTGCACTCTGCATCTGTGGCCGACCATTATGCAAACACACACGTTCCACAACAACAACAAAGAGGTTCCGCTTCGAAGTACTGAAATAAAATTCCTTCCGACGGGCGACGGCTGTTTCGGTCATTGAGACCTCATGCCGAGAGAAAGACAAGTGAACAGTCGAGTTGTTGAACGACTGAGCTGGAAAAGCACCTACTGCTGACTCTCGAAATAGGAGATGGCGCGCTAATGAAGGCGCATTTGGCACTCAAGGTGTGAAAATCAAGGTGTGAATATCGTGTCGTTGGCTCAAAGGGGAAGTATACCCTAAAATCAAATTTTCACCAGTTGTAGTCTTCGGGGTGCTGAGTCGAATGGTCTTGGTCCGAGGAAGCTGAGACGCTCCCTTCCTACTTGAATCCCAATCGAACTCGCGCACTTCCACCGAAACTGGGTGACTGCGCCCTACTAGATGGGGATTTGTATGCAAAATGTCACTAAAAGCGCCATTTCGTTCTTATAAAAGCACGGATGACCGCGATTGGCCCATATGTTGTAGTCTTTTGGACGCTGAGTCGACTGGTTTTGGTCCGAAAAGGCTGCGATGTAGCGTTCCTCCTTTATTCCCAATCGAACATGGTTGAACAAGCGGTCACGTGCTCCTGCGTACACCAGTCACCTGGTCACCGTGCCTGCAGGGTACAACTTACTAGCCTGTTTGACCTTTTTTGGGTGCACTCCTGTCACTCGAGTTGAACTCGAGTTGAACCTTGGTGTGAAATTTGTCGCCTGCTGGCGTGGTGACCAGGTGATTTGGGCATCCAGGAGCACGTGACCGCTTGTTCAACCATGTTCGATTGGGAATAAAGGAGGAACGCTGCATCGCAGCCTTTTCGGACCAAAACCAGTCGACGCAGCGTCCAAAAGACTACAACATATGGGCCAATCGCGGTCATCCGTGCTTTTATAAGAACGAAATGGCGCTTTTAGTGACATTTTGCATACAAATCCCCATCTAGTAGGGCGCAGTCACCCAGTTTCGGTGGAAGTGCGCGAGTTCGATTGGGATTCAAGTAGGAAGGGAGCGTCGCAGCTTCCTCGGACCAAGACCATTCGACCCAGCACCCAGAAGACTACAACTGGTGAAAATTTGATTTTAGGGTATACTTCCCCTTCAAGTCAGGGAGCTCACTCAGCTCAGCTCAGCTCAGGAGAACTAACTACTTAGCACTACAGTCATGATGTACACAGACAGTACAGTATACTAACGCCAGTACTAATGGTGTGAGAAGTAGCAGGGAAGTGATAGAAGTGATTGTTTGGAAGACATTATCATGATTATTATCATCAAAAAAAGAAAAAGGGAAGTGGTAGTACTAGTACTAGAAGACTAACAAGTCTAGTACAGTCGTAGGGCGAGGTGCGAAGGAAGTGTGAAAAGGAAAGGTGCTAGCAGTTAGGCACCGGTGTAATATGCCCGAAACTTTGCCGAAAATGCTTTTGGGAAATTCTAATAAACCTTGCCGAAAATGCTCGGAAAATGCTCACTTTTTTGTCATCCTCAGCACACGCCGTCAAAACCAGGGAGTCCGAAAATACTCGACAGTGAGGTTTTGCATTCCGAAATTCGGCAAAAAGATTCGGCACGCGGGAGCGAGGTCGAAAATGCACACGAAGATTCGGCATGTTTGTTCGGAAAAAGCTCACTTTGCCGAAAATATTTTTCGGATGAATTTTCTTGTAGAAGAGCGCTAGCGCGTGATTTATTCAAAGAGGTTTCTTATCTCGGCATCGCTTCGCCTCCGTCTTTGGCGACATCAGCATCGTCAGCTACCTCTGATTGCTCCTCTGAGTCCTCTCCACTGCCTGTCTACTCTCTTTCGCCGGTAGTATCCTCACCGTCATCTGTGTGGCTGAAAAGACTATGGCGATACGCATAAAATTTGACTTGGCCATGGAGTTGGTTTTTCTGAGGTGACTGGGGAGGCAGGTTTGGCCCTCGACTCTTTGGGCGATCAAAGTTCGTTGGAATCAGCAAGAACAGGAGCACGGGACAGGACATTGCTGATGCTGGGGCTCACGAAATGAAAACACATCATTTTCGACTTGCAAAACAAACGTTGGTGCGAAAATTCGGCATTTTGATGTTCGACAAATGAGTCAAATGACCGAAGAACGCCGAACCGAAATTCGGAATGCAAAACCTCACTACTAAGAGACTTGCTCGAGGCTGCCATGGTAAACTACTCAACAAGAAGCTAGCCCACGGAATGCGGAAGTGACGTTCTTGTTTGGGAGGTTTTTCTTCTCTCAATTATTTTGATACACAACGGCCAAGTACCGAAAATGCTAAAAAAAATGCCGGCATATTATTATTACACGGGGGCCTACTAGCAGTTCACCATGTACTATTTACGACAGTTTTTACTAGTTTAGTAGTTGCTCCTAACTGACCTGAGTGAAACACACGCCGCTTCCTGCCATGCCGCTAGCACTTTGTTCAGTGACTGTAGATAAAATAAAATTAAAAATAATAATAAGGCCACACTGAAGAAGGTCTGTGGTTCGACTCACCCGACCGACCGTACATTTTTCAGCCCGACCGTAACTTTTTTTCGGCGGGCTGTCGTGTGACTGACGTACGTGGACTGAACACGCCCACGTACGTCTACGTGCTGTGCAGCGTGAGTCTGCGGACGCAGGCGGCTCCTTTTGGACTTGACTTGTAGTTGTACTGCAGTGCAGTGCAGTGAGTGGTAGATCTACGACTGCTGCCTTGTGCTGGTAGTAGAGTCTACTCGATACGACCACCGGCAGACTGGCGAGACATATTGAAGTGACCGTCCGGTTGAGAGTGATTGCCTCGTTCCAGATTAAGGACGGCCTTCTGTTTTGGGATGAAGGACAGACGAGATTGCACTTTCCTCGTGTATTGGGAACGATATTTCACCTGTACCGGTAAGTTGCTGCTCCATGTGTGCAAGCACAGGAAGCGTCGATGGAAAAAGCCCATGTATTCGTGCACGCCGACACCAAACTAGCAATACATGTACCGGTACATTGTACAATTTGTACTTCGAAGTAGTTCCCGAACTTACTTTCAACTCGCATCGTTCTTCATTTGCTTGATGATTTGGACAGTCAGAGTCACCCCTTGAAGTTATTCTCTTCTCGTTCCAGAGCTACACAATGTTTCAAAGTATTAGCCATTGATCCCTTTATACAACATGTATGGCATAACACCATGAACACTGCGTAATAATGCCGATGTACTGGGTGTCTAAAGGCAGTACAGTGTATTTACATGTACTAGAAATATATATATATAAAAAAAATCCGCCCGCCCGCCCGTAAAAAAATGTCCATGTTAGTCGAACCACACACCTTCTTTAGTTTGGCCTACATAAATAATAATATTAACTGGTTTGAGGGAAAGAGACAAACGGGAAAAGTCTGAAGAAAAAATTGACTGTCACCACCAGGACCCGAACCAGGGACCTTCGCTTGTAGCCAGCGATGCTCTAACCACTGAGCTATGGTGTAGTCGTCATCCCAGCAGAGGCCGTTCAACATTTTCTTCAGACTTCATCAATAATAATGATAATAAATTAATTAATTAATAATAAATTTAAAGTACAGTGCCAGTACTATCTACGTAGAGTTTACCAGGTCTACGTAGAATGAATGATAAGAGAGGCTTGAGATCTCTACCACTAGTGATACATGTAGTATCAGTACAGCCCTGTGCTGTAGTAGGCATTTGAGGTATGCCAGAACTTCATGGTCGAGTGAGTAGCCTCGCCTCGTCGCCTCCTCCTACTGAATTCAATGGCACACAAGGTAACTAACTAACTTACTTACTTTGGAGAATGCGAAAGTGCAGGCACTCGAAGAACTCCAACAAAGCAAAGTAGTACTACTACGAGTAACTGGTTTCTGTGACTCTACGTAGCGCGCGTGTGCAACAAATCGGTGTGAAGTGCTTCCGGAAACTCAGTTTGCCTACCATCGCCATCATTCCACGGAGGACGCGCTGATACTGGCCGTACATCGATGGAGCACAGCTAGGGCCCGGAAACAGTCCACTGGTATTGTGTTTGTCGATATGTCAAAAGCGTTTGATAAGGTTCGCCACCAAACGCTGTTAGATGATCTTCACGGAAAGGGTGTACGTGGCACTGCTCTGGCCTGGTTTGCCAGCTATTTGTCGGGTCGGAAACAACGCGTTAAAGTTGGTTCTTCATCGTCAAGCTACTCGGAGTGTTCAAGTGGTGTACCGCAAGGTAGCGTTCTCGGCCCGTTTCTTTTTTCTGTTTACATCAGTTCCATCGACTCTCATCTACCGCCTGGAATTTGTCACCAAGAATTCGCCGATGATATCACCTTAGATACATCATCATCCAGCCGTGCAGACATCAGCTCTAAGCTTAGTGTCGCATGTACGCGTCTCGCCGTCTGGCTCAATGGACGCGGTTTGAGCCTCAACGCCACCAAGACTTGTGTGCTGCACATTGCTCCTCGGAGCACCCTTGATCCCTTGCCGCCTGTGATATGCGATGGCGCTGTGCTCCCTGTTGTGTCGCAGACCAAGTACCTAGGCTTGATTGTAGACGATCGCCTGACTTGGAATAGCCACGTTACGCATATCTGTAAAACGTCTCGGCCGGTTATAGGAGCACTGTGGAGAAATCGGAAGTGTCTCTCTCTGCAGTCGAAGCGAATGGCGTACACGTCCATGGTAGAGTCCAGGATCCGCTATGGATGCTCAGCTTTCTTTAGCTCTCTCTCTCCAAGGCTAACGAGGAGAGGCTTCAACGCCTATGCAACCTAGCCCTGCGAGCCGTGTACAACCTGACCTCCCGTACCCGTAGGTCTCCCGTGTATGCTGAACACAACCTGCTTCGTGTACACCAGCTCTTGCGTGAGACAGTGTGCTCGCTGGTCTACCGGTGCCTACATTCCACCATGGAGCAGCCGCTGATCAGCGCATTATTTGGAGATTTCGTCACTCCGACTAGGGCTGGCCAAACGCGCGGCTCCCAACAACATCTGCTGCAGCTTCCATCCAGAACTCATCCCGTGTCTCTTTCTGCTGCACGCGTTTGGAACAGTCTTCCACCTGATGCGAGAAACATCACGTCCTCCCTCCAGTTCAAGGGTGTGTTGCACGCGTATTGTCTTACTGCAGCATGACAGCAACCCCCCTCCCCTATCTTGAGTATAGTACTAGTAGTATGTAGTAATCCTGATGCTCTGATACATGCCGAGGCTAGCTGTATGCTCAGTCTCCGGCTAGCTGTAT